GCTCAGTGGGCACCAGAGCCCGTGGCTGCCAAATCATGCGATGCTGGTCAGCGCGTCAACATCACAGCCGAATGTCCTACTGGATGGAGCTGCTGTAGATGTCCAAATTCCCAACTCTCTTCTTCCAGGAGGGAAAACAACGTATGTACCAGAGGTTTCTAGAATGGACAAGACCTTATGCAATGAAAGAAGGCTTCGTGCAAGTTTGCTATCCTAGATTTAAAGTGGAGGAATGTTATGACCTGGAGAACACCCTTTCCACATTGGGCATGGCTGGTGCCTTTGACTGAGCCAGGCCTGAATTTTCTGGCATGTCATCCAAGGGGGACTTATGTGCAAGGTTACACTTAAGACTGTGGCGGTTGATGAGGATGGCGCCGAAGCCACAGCTGCCACTTCTATCTTGCAAGCATCACCCCAAGGTTCTGTGCCAATCACCCCTTCCTCTTCTTCGTCCAGCACACCAAGACCAACTGCATCCGGTTCTGTGGCAAGTTCTCCTCTCTGCAGGAGGCATTATCACGGGACAGGGGTACCCTTCTTTCTCCTACTGGCATATTTTCTTCCGATGCTCACCACTGTGTTCACAACCCAGAGTGGACTGATTCGTGCAGAAGGGACATTTCAGAAATTGATGGCCTCCTTTTTAATTCTATCCTCAGAATGCTTACTTGCACATTAAATCCTAGTGGCATAGTGGTTTCACGTTGGGTTGCTAACCACAAGAAAGGCAGTTTGAAACTACCAGCCGCTCTATGGGATAAAGATGAGGCTTTCTGCTCTCATAAAAAGTTACAGTTTCTGAAACTCGGGGGTGGGGGTGGGGGCAGTTCTACCCGGTCCCATAAGCTCACTGATTGGCATTAGCTAGATGGACATGGCGCTGTATTGGCAGAACTCTTCTTGGTTCCATGCTGAGGGCTTTTCTAGCCTCTGATGTTGACATCCTCCAAGGTTTCCTGGTCCCTTTGCCAGTGACAGCACAGGCTACATAAAGCACCTTCCTCCCCAAAACAAAACAACCCCACAAAAAACCGAAAATCCTGGCCACTGGGCCTATTCGGATTCCTTGCTGACATGCGGGATTTCTCAGCAAACCAGTCACTTCCTCTTGCAGGAGCAGGCACCTCACTAGTTATCAGGAAGCCAGCCTCTCCGGCCACCTCTCTCGCCACCTGCTGGTTTACTCTGCTGCTACATGCCACCCCTTTGTCCCTGCCTTGAAAGTGCTGTCCTCTTCCCCCTGAGAGCACATGTGACTCCATGTGAGTAATGAACTGCTTCCAGCCTCACGTGTCTAGTGCTGGCCCCTGGACGTTCCATCGTCTCATGCTATCTGGGTCACATTGTCCCTCCTTAGCCATGGGGTGAGTGGGGAGGGATCAAACACCCGTTTCCTGTACTCAGAGGCTCTTCTGGTCTCACTGAGCAATTTTTTCTTTAGTTCCCTAACAACCCCCTACTATTGAGGAGTGATCATGGTGTCCTACTGTGCGGATAGGTGCCATTGAGTCGGTTGTCACCCATAGCGACCGATGCACAATGGGAAAAACCACCGCCCAGTCCTGCACGGCTCTCACCATTGTTCTACGCTGGAGTCCACTGCTGCAGCCACTGCGTCAGTCCATGTCCTTGAGGGCCTTCCCCTCTTTTGCTGCCCCTCTGCTTTGCCAAGCATGATGACCTCCTCCCAGGACTGGTCTCTCTGGTACCCTATTACACTCAGGACAAGAATACAGGGCACACTTGCCTACATAATGCTTGAACACTCATCCCTGATCTAAATTGTTATCAGTAAACTACTGTGCTTAATATGAATTCACTATGAGTGCTAGAAAGCATTCTACAATACTAGGGTACACTGCAAGACCTTTCCATGGGGTTGGGCGCTGCCTCATACTTAACCACACAATGGATTCTCCTTGTACATCACTTTCTCCCATTGTCACTGGTTTCTGAACACGTGCTTCACATTAATTCTCATAGATGATAATATTCCATCCCCAACCCAAACCAACTCACTGCAATGGAGGGGATCCCAACTCACAGTGACCCTACAGGGCAGCGTGGAACTGCCCCTGTGGGTTCACGGAGACTCAAATTCTTTATAGGAGCAGAAGGCCTCAGATTTCTCCTGAGGGACAGCTAGTGGTTTCAAACTGCTGACTATGCATTAGCAGCCCGACATGTAACCACGATGTCGCAAACCCCAGGAGGAAGCTGGGTTGTACGTTTTAACTGGCACCTTGGTCTCTGAAGTCCATGCAGCATGAGCAGGAGGTCTCGATCATCAGCGGAAGCCTTATGGGGTGGCTTTCCCGAGTGACTGCAGAGGCAGCGTGATCCACCGACACAACTTTATACTGAGACGTTTTTTTGTCTTTTTAAAATCATTTTATTAGGGGCTCATGCAACTTTTATCACAATCCATACATACATCAATTGTGTAAAGTGCATTTGTACATTCATTGCCCTCATCACTCTCAAAACATTTCCTCTCCACTTAAGCCCCTGGCATTAGGTCCTCATTTTTCCCCTCCCTCCCCGCTCCCCCTCCCTCATGAGCCCTTGATCATTTATAAATTATTATTTTGTCATATCTTGCCCTGTCCGACGTTTCCCTTCACCCACTTTTCGGTTGTCCGTCCCCCAGGGAGGAGGTCACATATAGTTCCTTGTAATCAGTTCCCTCTTTCCAACCCACTCTCCCTCTACCCTCCCATATACTGAGAAGTTTTTACAACACTTTGCAATAAGCAGGGTAGTGGCCATCCAGCGGAGGCTTGCTTATTAACTTAGGCCCAGTTTCTTTAGAGGGAGTTAATTACACGTTTGCATATGACTTATATTTTTCCCTTTTCTGAAACACACCTCAAGTGTGCCGACAGTGGACATCTAGTAAACATTTTTGAAAAAACAAACACATGGACAAAACAAACAAAGGAAAACAATCTATTGCCCCTTCAGGTAAAGGTAGATTTTTACCCATGAATGAAAAATTAACTGCTGATTTCTTAAAGGGTGTGACTATTTTGATAAACCTATTTGGACATTTCTCCATCATTATGATTTTATGACTAAAAAAAGTGCACGATAAACCTTTCATCTAAGGGCACTTTGCAAACTTGGGATGTCATTGTCTGGTCATAAAAACCTAAACAGGGCAGACCTGAGAGGCTTTAAACCTAAAAACATGAAGATTGGTATTTAGAACCCACAGTTTCCCCGAAGCACTGATGCTGTGACCTAGTGGTTACATGCCAGTAGCTTGATGCCCCCACAGCTCCAGGAAGAAAGTCCGAACTTTCTACTCCGGTGGAGTTTCCATTTCAGAAGCTCGCAGGGACAGTTCTCTCTGTCACGGTGACCCTCAAAGGGTCATTGTGAGTTGGACTCCACTCCATGCAGTGGCTTGTTTTCATTTGAATGCATTTTCACGGGTTGTGTTTCAAGCATTTGTATACTTAGTACTGAAACTGCCCTAGTCTAACTTCCAACTCATCCAGCCCCCGTGGGACAGACCAGGACCGGCCCTTTGGGGTTTATGGAGACTCTATCCTTATGGGAGTAGAGAGCCATCTTTCTCCTCCAGGTGGCAATGGTCAAACTGCTGACCTAGCAGTTAGCAGCCCACCTGGCCATCCACTGCTCCACCGGGGTCCTCAGTCAGTGGACTGAGCATTTTACTAGTCACAGTTTACTAGTACAACCACGGAAGCCTTTATTCCATTTAAATGAACCCAGCCACCAGAGAAAACATTTCCCAGTGATCACCATCAATTCACGCTGGACTCCAAGCCAGATATTTCGAAGCACCAAATCAAGATCTCAAGAGAAGCAGATACCCAATCACCTTGCTTCAATTTTAAAAAGATTTTAGCCAGCACAGGTTGTGTATTTCTAGTACAAGGTGTTTCTTTCTTGTTTTAAATGTTCCGTAACATTTTAAATGTTCCGTAACATTTTAAATGTTCCGTAACATTCACAATTTATTAGTATCTAGCACAATGACAAATATAGATTATTATAGGTTTGGGGGTGGGTGAGTGTTCAGACAATTCATTGATTGGTATCCAAGCAGTTTGCAAACCATTGATTGGGGCTTAAAGGTCCCTGAGAGGCAGAAATGGTTTGGGCAACATGGGTTAGGTGCTGGCATGCTTAGGCATGGTCTGGTGTTCAAATCCACCAGCTGCTCTGCAGGAGAAAGGTTTGGCTGCCGGTTGGAAACGGTATCTAGGGTTAATATGCGGAGGAGTCCACTCAAAGTTTCTTAAACTGGGGAGGTCTCAAAAACAATTGGTAACAGTAGAAAAAAGGCTCAGACAACAGCAAAACACTGTCATTGCGTCCCATCTAAATAAGTTTCCGAGATGGGAACTCTTTGCAGACGTGGAAAACCTGATCTTTCTCCTTCCGAGCAGCTGGTGGGTTCTCACTGCTGACCTGGTGGTGAGTGGCCCCAACGCCGAACCCACTCAGCCCCCAGGACTCCCTTGGCAACAGTAAAAGGTTGATCTCACTATGAATTAGAAAGCAAACCGGAATCCGAAGTGTTTCTGGCAGTGTGTGTGCCACTGTTGCTAATTTCTCTCGCGTAAAAGGGTCTCTGGAGTAGAAAAAGCTGAAAGGATGGCGGTGGGTCTTGGGTAACTAAGCCAAGTAGAACCCACCAGAGGGCAACGAGGAGGAGAGGCCTGGCGGTCTGTTCCCCCTAAACACCACAGCCAAAAAAGCAATGGAGCATTGGAAAACTAAGGTGCACGGTTTCTCGGTGCAGCAGAGGGGAGTCACCAAGCATCTGGATCCAATGGAAGGAGACAGGCTGCTCTGGTTAATTTCCCCTTAATTTTCCTCCCTCGCAGTCAGAGCGCCCATGGTGGGGACTCAGGGCAGGGCAGGGCCGCCGGAAGCCGTGGGAGCCTCCTCCCCGGGCCGGGCCCAGCCTGTCCCGGCCGCCCCCGCAGCTGCGTGTGCTGCCCAGACCCGGCCACCAGCAGGCCAGCAGCTCCGGAGCAGCGGCAGCAGGAGCAGCGGCGGTGGATGAACAAGCCTCCAGGTACGGGGCAGGGGCGAAGGAGCGGGTGCCAGTCCCCGCTCTGCCCCTCTTCTCTGGAGCGCGGGGTCGCTGGGAACTAGGGATACCGGCGGGCGGGACCCTGCGGGGGAAGGCAGAGGAACGCAGGGGACTGCAGGGATGGCGACGGGTCGCTCCTACCCAGAGCGGTCCAGGCTCCAGCCTGGCACAGAGCTGTCGAGGCCAGGCTGTGAGCGTAGGGTCCTGTGATTCGCTAGCTGTCAGGTGCGTGGCTACAATTCAGGCCTAGGATTTGTTGATGAAGTGGGTGGGCGGGCACTTTCGGAGAAGTGCGGCTGGAAGACCAGAGCAGGATCCAGCCTGGCCTGGAATGGGGGCCTGGTGAGCGCTCTTAGGGTCTTGCCGCTGGTTGGTTGGTTGTCAGATTAAGTTTTTCCTTTCTTCCGTAATTCCTGCCTCCCTCCCTCTTTCTCTCCCGGCTCTTTGTCCCTTCGTTCCACCTCGCTTACTTTCCACATATTTCATCCTTTTCCTTCCTTGATCGCATCTCTTAGTAGCATCTCTTCGAATCGAAGTCCATCCCTGGATCATCACTAGCCCCTTCCCTGGGGAGCCTGTCCTGTAGGGAGGTGGCTCCTGAACACCTGCCTCACCTGGCTGCCCAACTGACCTGGACCTCCAGCCTCTGGGGCTTGAGCTGCAGCAAGCTCCCCCAGCCCCTCACTCACACACATAGTAGTTCTCGCAGTGTAGCCCCCAGGGCTGGGTAGGGCTTTTTAGGTCTTCCTCTACCTGCCTCCTAACTGAGGGGATTCCCTAGGACTGGGTGAATTTCATCTGTCAGCCCTTGCATCCTGAGACGCTCATCCACTCACAGAGAAGAGCATTTCTCCCAACCTGACCACCACCCCTCACCGCCCCCATCACGACTCAGCTGGTTCCTAAATCGATGTGCCATGCATCCCAGGCCTATTTTGGATTTCAGGTTTAACTGGTACAGCCCACAAATCTCCAATGGAATGCACCCTCTTCCCCATTCCAGGCTGGCTCCTCAACCAGTTGATGGGTCACCACCCACCTAGGCATGCCCTTAGCTCAGGGTGAATCTCAGAATCGCTGGGCTCTGCCTGCTTCCTGGCCCATCCTGCCCCTTGGTGATTCTCTCCTCCTGCACCAAAGGAGGCATTTCTCAGTCCATGGGAGTGGTCAGCCAACAGGACCCCCACATTCTAGTCCCACCAAACAATGAGCACTGTTATTTTGCCCTAGCTCCAAAAGTGCTCATAGTAAACATGTGCTTAAAAATCATGCTCAGCTTTCCAGACCGGAAGGTCTAGTTGGAACTCCCAAGCCAGCCTGAGGGACCACCTGCCATTCAGGAAACAGTGCAGACACTCTCCCCAGACCCTGAGCAAACTGCACTCCTGGTATCCTTTGCTTCGCAGACCCCTCAGCCTCCCAGTGTATGTAGCCCCTTTGCCTTCAGCAGAGGAGGTTGGGCTGCTAACTGCAAGGTCAGCCCTTTGAACCCATCAGCCGCTCCATGCGTGGAGGAGGCTTTCGGTTCCTCTAAAACTTTAGTCTCTCAGAAACACAGAGACCTCCAACAGCTGTGAGACTTGTCCCGCCTCTTAGAGCAGCTCTGAGTCACCAGGTCACCTCTAGGCAGAGGCGTCCTGGTCTGTGGGGTGGCCTCTGCTTCCCTGTCACCCAGGCGTGAAGGCTTTGCAGCCAGTACTCAGGCTGGGTGAGTCACCTCGGGCTGAGCCCCAGGGCATTCAGTTTTCATTTTCTTCTGTCAAAACAGAAGACAAACTCTAAATAAAGGCTCTTGGCTGCTAACCACAAAGTCAGCAGTTTGGAACCACCAGATGCCACCAGGGAGGAAGATGAGGCCATCTAGTCCCATAAAGAGTTACAGTCTCTGAAACCCACAGAGGCTGTTCTACTCTGACCAATACAGTCCCTTTGAGTAACAATCAACTCGATGTCGGTGATCCCCCCCCCTTTAATGTAGTCATTCACTTCTGGGATCGTATACAGGGAATGAGAAACTGGAATGGGAATTCTGAGGGGTACCCAATTCAGCTAGCCTCACCCACTGCTGTCCTTTGGGTCTGCCTCACAGTGACCCTATAGAATGGAGTAGAACCGGTCTCTGAGGCTATATATGTTTATGGGATCAGTCGGCCTCGTTTTTTTCCCAAGGGCCAACTGGTGGGTTTGAAACAGCAACCCTGTGGCTAGCAACCCAATCAATGCTCAACCCAATGCACCACCAGGGCCCCTTCCACAGGGCCATAGGATCACCAACTCAAAGAAAACCCATGCTCGCTGCTCTCTGGTGCATCCTGACCCCTGGCCACCCCACGTTTTATAGGGGGCGACTTCTGGCACCTGTGGAAACAGGAGGTTCGCACCGCAGCTGGCACACCCATCTTCTCTCGAGGCCTGCACACAGTCACATCATTGTGTCCTGCCGACTTTGTTTAATTAACTCTCCCACTTTCTACCTTGAAGCATTTTTATGACACTGGAATTGGGACCCCAACACCCATCGGTATTATTTTGTCTTATTGAAAAGTCAGGCCAAGGGAGGCCCATTTGTTTAGAACCTGAGCCTTCTTAGGTCCAAGGGAGGTTGGAGCACCCAGCTAACCAAGGCGCAACTTCCAGCCCAGGGGGTTGGGGGGGAAGGGCACAGACTCCCTAGCCTTGCCTGGCTCCTAGAAGTCCCCACATGTCTTGGTCCCTGGCCGTATCACTCCAGCCTTGCTTTCGTAGTTCCACCTCCTACTCAGACTGACTCACCTGGGAAGACCCTGGTTACTTTGGGCGCACTCAGGTCTTACAGCAGAACCTCCTGTTCCCAAGAGCTTCCATGCCGTCACATTTGTAAATTCCCATTTGCTGTAGAAAGTGGTCAGCTGATTACAGGAAAGGGGTCTCCTGGGGGGCCACCACCACTACGGGCCTCCATCCTGCCCACGATTCCGAGGTGGCCGAGGACTCAGGTGCTTCTGTTCTGTGCTCTTGCCCAGGTCGTCCCCGATGGAGCATCTCTGCGAAGCCAACGGCAGTTTTGCCATCCGCCTGTTGAAGATTCTGGGCAAAGAGTCCCCGAGTGAGAACTTGCTCTTCTCCCCCATGAGCATCTCCTCTGCCCTGGCCATGGTCTTGATGGGGGCCAAGGGGAACACTGCTGCCCAGATGTCCCAGGTATGCAAAGGAAGGACAGCGCAGGCTCTGTTTCCTGCTCTCCCCAAACCGTCTGTCCCACAGGGATTCCATTCAAGGGGGGCCTCCACGCATACGTATCAGAGCAGGACTGCGCCCCAGAAGGTTTCCACAGCTGCGTGTTTAGGAAGTACATCACCAGGCCTTTTTACTTTGGTACCTTTGGGTCAACCTCTAACCTTTTGGCTAGCAGCTCAATGGTATAAACACATCGTACTACTAGAGACTCCAACTGCCATTAAACAAACAAACAAACAAACCCTCACTGGCATCGAGTTAATTCTGACTCAGAATGAACAGGATAGATTGAACTGCCCCTGTGGGTTTCTGAGGCTATGAATCTTCAGAAGAGCAGAAAGCCCGCCAGCCTTGCAGTCAGCAGACCAACACATGACCCACGGCACCAGCAGGGCCCTCGTCTGACTTCCACAGAGCTGGTCTATTCGGACCCAGCCCAGCTGAGAGCCTGTGAGTCTGAGCAGGACAACCAACGTAGCGATGGGGGAAGGGCAGGCATGCAAAGGCAGTTGAGAGCCTTGGGGCTGGCCATCTCCTCGTCTTTATGGGAGAAAGGACGTCGTGAAGTTAGTTTTTCACCTGTGAAACATTTTCATCTCCGCTCTTTCTTGTACCCCCTGGGCCTTGTTAGGTTAATTCCAACTGCTTGAAGACCAAAGGCTTTAGTTTGAAGACCCTTGAAGACCTATATGGGCACAGTGGCTGCCACAATAGGCTCAAACCTAAGACAATTGCGAGGAGGTGCAGGGCTTGGCAGGGCTTCCTTCTGTTGTTGTACACAGGATTGCTGTGAGTCGAACCAACTCGACGGCACCTGGCAACAAAAACACGGCTTCTCCTTCTGTCTCCCGCCCACGTTATCCTCTCTGTGCCTTCCTGGCTTGGATAAACCTGCTAGCTTAGTGGTAGCACCTGCGGGCACCTTCCCTTCCCCCACAGACCTCCGGTCAGGTGTGCAGTTTGGGTTCTCTCAACTGAAGGATGCTACTGACATCTAGTGGCCAGCCGGCAGCGGTGCAGCGGAGCAGCCGACCAGGCACAGGTTTTTGTTGTCAGGGGCTACAGAGCCAATTCTGACCCATGGCGTCCCCTAGGTTTTTTTTTTTTCTCGGCTGTACTCTAAACCAAAGCAACTCTCTTACTGAGATCTCATTCGAACTTTCAACTTCCAGGTTAGCTGTCTAACACAACCCTTTACCACTCAGGACAGACTCTATAACAAACAATAGGAGCCCCAGTGGCTTAGCGGTCACGTGTTGGGCTGTGATCGGCAACATCCACACTTTGAAACCACCAGCTGCTCTGTGGGAGAAAGACGAGGCTTTCTACTCCCATAAAGAGTTACAGTCTCAGAAACCCACGGGGGCAGTTCACCTTGTCCTATAGACTCATGGATTTAGATTGAATTCCCCCACCACCCCCTCTCCACATCGGCCCTGGTGGTGTAGTGGATTGCATGCCAGACTGCTCACCGTAACGTCAGCAGTTCGAAACCACCTGCAGCTCTGCTGGAGAAAGATGAGGCCGCCGGCTCCTGTGACGATTTACAGTCTCGGAAACTTACAGGGCAGTTTTATTCTGTCCTACAGGGTCTCCGGTGCGTCCGAGTGAACTCGATGCCAGTGAGCTGGTTTTGTTTAACTGACAGTGGTGACGAGTTTGGGTCACCCCATCCTGGACATTCGCCAAGACTCGCTTTAAGTTAGGCACATGTGCGATGCCCAGGTCGGAGGTTCGTCTGGACGCAGCGCTTGAGCGGAAGGACGAAGGGTGAGGCTGACCGTTGGCATGGCTTGCTGTCCGCAGGCGCTTTGTTTAAAGCAGGATGGAGACGTTCACCATGGGTACCAGGCGCTCCTCACAGCCATCCACACACGTGGCGCTCAGTGCCTGCTGAGAACCGCCAACAGGCTCTTTGGAGAAACATCGTGCAATTTTCTGTCAGTAAGTATGGTTTCGCCCTGGATGGGAAGGAAATGGAAAAAGAGATTGCAGAGCAGTGGAGAGCAGCCGGTTACTGGCTTCCTTAAATATGTGCTTAGAAGGACGCTTCTGCAATTCTTCTCGCGTTATAAGGTTGATTCTGCCTGATGACTTTAAAGATCTTTCTTACTGGTTCTGGTACGTGCTTCCCTGAGGGCCATCTCGATGTGTCTCACTTGCCCACCCTCCCACACCCAAGCCTTCTCCCCTGATTCCCATCACTGCCTGACCACGTGGTGAGCATGCTGTACAACAGAAGCCCGGCCAGCCTCGCCGGGCACTCAGACACCACCTCTGGCTGTTCTTCTGCTTCCGTTGAACCCTGTGCATCCTGCTAAGGTCTCTCGACAACCCCTCGAACCCCGTGCATCCTACTAAGGTCTCTCGGACAACCCCTCTCCTGGACAGCGCCTGGACAGCCATGGCGTGGGCTCTGCATTGTGGGCGGTGCCTGCACTGCAGTGCTCCTGGCTCCCTGTCTGCCCCGTGCTTGCTGCCCCTTCCTTCTGTCTCACACCCGCACCCTGTTGCTGCTGCTACCCGCTGCTGGCGCCTGGTCTTTTTTTGCGATAGAATCTCCTCGTGAACACATGCTACTCCAGAGTCACTCAGTCCGGTGATCCCCACCACGTGCAATATGAGAATCCCCAAATCACTGTACTATGTCATACCTGCCAGATGGTGCTGTCCTGGGGTGCAGTCTGCCATCTGGGGGAGCCTGGCTGCCACTGGCTGGTATGTAAGGTTCCCATACCTCCCCACCCTGGCTGCTCTTTGGAGTGACCCCAGGAGTGCTGTCTATTCTGGGCTTACCTATCTGCGTGGATGGTGACTCCCTCAGCAGCCTGGGGGCTAACCCCGGATGGACAGACAGGAGGGCTCCAGATTGGGGTTAAGCACCCCACACAGGGCCAGGGGCAGAGCAGAGGCTCCACAGTGTTTGTTTTTTAATAGAAGGAGTCTTCAAGTGTAGCATGACCTGTGCAGAAACAACACACACACACACACACACACACACACACACACAAGGAGAGGGTGAGAGAGTTTCCAAAGTTGTGGCAGCCCTGTGGAATGGCCCCAGCCCAGCCCTTTGCTCCTTGTAGGCCTTTAAGGAATCTTGTCAGAAGTTCTATCAGGCAGACCTGGAAGAGCTGTCTTTTGCACAAAACACAGAAGAATCCAGGAAACACATCAACGACTGGGTCGCAGAAAGGACTGAAGGTGAGAGATTTAATGTCCCAAGGCTTTGGAGGTATGAGGAAGCAAGGCCAAGGTCGGCCGGGCTGTGGCCTCTGTGGTGTGGACAGGGTGGCCTGATTACCAGAAGCCTGTTTACATGTTCTTGGCTGTTGGTGTTCACCGGTTTCCTGGCTGGAAACACAATTCTCTTGGGCTTATCAGACCATGAGGTCCAAACCCACATAAACCTCAGGCACTCTGCCTTCTGGACAGTGTGGGGCAGTTCCTGAAAAACAGCTTCTCTTAAAAACACAACCCCAAACTCCCTGCCATTATGTTGATCCCCACTGCCCCGGGGCGCTTTCGAGGCTTAATATCTTTACAGGAGCAGCCAGACTCATTTTTCTCCCACAAAGCAGCTGGTGGGTTCGAACTGCTGCCCCGGTGGTTAGAAATCCAGCATGTAACTGACTGGACCACCAGGGCTCTTTACACCTCGTTGTCGATCCCTGTTTATCGTTCATCTGGGGCGACCCTTACTGTGCTCTGAGGACACAGTGATGTGGATTGAATCACAGCTTAGACAGGACATGATTTCCTGTTACCGCCCCTGGTGATGTGGCCACCTCACCAATTTTATCAGCAGCTGACTCCTCCACTCTAACTGCACCATGGCTGGCGGCTGAGTTTGCTTTCCCAGAAACTCCTGGCTAGTTTCTATGGTCATCTGTCCAGTCCATGTGTGTGCCACCTCAACGATTCTCAACTACAGGGAGCATGAGGACAGGCGTTTACATCTGGGTTGGGGAACTACCAGGAAATAACCCAAGACCACCTCCACAGACCCTTTGCTGTCAGATTCCTTCAGACTCGGGGCGCTCCCTGGACCAGACCAGACATGCCCCACGGGCTGTCCAGGCCTCGGAATCCTTATGGACGCCTACGGCACATCTTTCTTCCTCAGAGAGGCTGGTGGGTTCCAGTGGGAACCTTCTGGCTAGAAGTCAAGCCCCTTTAAACACCACCGCCACCCCAAATCTAACTCCCATTGATCTGTCATTTGACAGTGCAGCTAGAGCCCCACTACACCGCCTCCACCAATCCCATCGCTCTGTCACCTGCTTCAGGTAGCTCGCTTTTTCATTTTCACTCCAAAATAGCAATCGTGTCTCCTGTATGTTTTAAAGGGAAGATTTCGGAAGTGCTGGGTGCTGGCACTGTGGACCCTCTGACGAAGCTGGTGCTTGTGAATGCGATCTATTTCAAAGGGAAGTGGAAAGAGCCGTTCGACCCGAAGCACACACGAGGAATGCTCTTTAAAACAGGCCAGGTAGCTCCCCCGCCCCGCCCTCTTCTCCGGCAGATCTACTGCGACTCTCCTAAGGCAAGAAGATGGGGATGATCTTACTATTTCTTTCTTTTTCTGACACTTTTCTGGGCACGCCCTTTGCATATCATGCACTTCAATAGTTTGATCTTTAAATCACATCAAGGAGAATTGTGCAATCATTACCACACCAACTTTGGAGCCCTCCACCCTCCGACTCTCCCATGGTTATAGCACTTTTACGAGGACTTATGCAATCATAGTTCATTCTGATGGTCTCACCCCACTCCCGCCCCCACTCTGGGGGGAGATTTTAGATGAAAATAATCTCCAACTTTCTTCATCAATTTTTGAATGAGGCGTCATGACCCCTATGTATCTTTTATTTGGGGAGAGGGAACAAAAAGTCAAAAAACCCTGCAGTGTTGATAATTCTGTTTTCTCATCCTTGAGAAATTCATTTTCTACTCATAGTCATTTTATTTGGATTGGCGTTTCTTCTAAACCCTGCAGACAATTGCGTAACGTGATCAGGGTCTAAAAACCCAACCACTGCCATCATGTCCGTCCTGGCTCAGGGGGCCTCTAGGTCAGCGGTTCTCAACCTGTGGGTCTTGGCCCCTTTGGGGGATCGGATGACCCTTTCACAGGGGTCGCCCAATACATAGCAGGACAAAATGACAGTGATGAAGTAGCAATGACAATAATGTCGTGGGTGGGGGTCACCACAAATGAGGAACAGCACGAAAGGGGGAGACCAGTATTGGCAGACACTGGAGAGCGGCCCCCGTCCGAGCAGCACAGGCGTCCACCATCTTGGGCAGGGGCACGGCCGTTGTTGGGTTGTGACCACAATCACAGCACCTCGGGTAGCACAGTCTGGCTGCTGTGCAATGTGGGCAAGAGCCCTAGCTTCCACCAGCCGTTCCTGAGCCACAGTGAGCCCACCTGCAGCTCTATTGCAAATGTGAGCAAAAGCCTACAAACGTGAGTGGGTGGGAGCCCTCAGCTGGCCAACACTTCCTTACACCTCTTTTTGAATGGGATCATTCTTAGGTCAACAGGGGTTGGTTTCAAATTTGGCTTACATCCACCTGATCACAGCATAGTGCTCAAAGAAAGGAAAGCGTACAATACGTTGTATGTGAGCTTTAATAACGACTGTCCCTGTGCAGCTTATCAAAGTCCCTTCTCCCTGAAAATTGAAGTCATAACCAACGATAGAACTGGACAACATTTCAGGAATAAAAATATAGCTCCCTTTTGGTTCATCTGCTTTTTTCCCTAATGGTGCCATTTAGTCCGGAGGCCTGAGTATAACTTAATTCTCTTCTTAACTTGGAGAAATGCTTTTTAACTGTAAGGTCCACATGGGGCGCCTTTGTATGCATCTTCTTAAAAGCAAAGACGCAAAACCTTCTCCAAAATAGTGTTGAGCGTTTTATGCCTTGGCTTGTGACAGCCTACTGTCTCTCCTGGTCAAGCTGGGTCTGCCGAGATAGCAGCATTTGCGCTCAGTACGAAGAGAAACTGCGGAGGACTTCACGGCGACAGCCACAGCAGTAATGATGCTCTCCTACCAGTGCCCGGGAGGGTCTCTGAGTTAGACGCAGCGTCTGGAGTGTGGCGAACCTGCCTCCCTTTTTCAGGAAGCTCACTCGAATCGTGTGTTTCTATCAGGGGAAGAAGACCGTGCAGATGATGTTTAAGCAGGCCAGATTCCGGCTGGGCTATGTCGACGAGGTGCACACGCAAGTCCTGGAGCTGCCCTATGCTGGGGAGGAGCTGAGCATGGTCATTTTGCTTCCCGATGAGGACGCCGGTCTCGCTGCTGTAAGCACCACCTGTGTTTTGGGAACGTGTGCATGCATTTTTGTTGTCTATTTAGATGTCATTAATTGGTTCTAGCATTTGAAGTTCTTTGGCATTGGTTCTTTTTATAAAGCTCTGCTGTCTCAGGTGTTTCTAATTGTTTCACTCTTGTACAACCCCAAACCCAACCCAACCAAACACTGCCACTGAGTAAATTCTGACTGACTGGGCATGTGGGCAGTGGGCAGTGATGTGTGGGTGGGCACTGTAGTGGGCAAGGAGAGGAGTGAGTGTGAGTGCAGGGAGTATGTGGGTAGGCACATGGGCAGTCGGAATAGTGGACAGTGAGCAGAATGGACAGTGGGCAGAGCGGGCAGTATGTGTGCATGGGAATGTGGGCAGTGGGCAGAGCGGGCAGTGAGTGCCACCGCGGTGTTGAGCTTTGCCTCCCGCTCTTGCAGTTAGAAGAGGAACTGACCTACGAGAAGCTGCGAGCGTGGACAGACCCCGAGACGCTGACGCCCAGGAAAGCGGACGTGCTTCTCCCGCGACTGAGGCTGGCGGAGAGCTACGACCTGGAGCCCATCCTTCGGGGCCTGGGCATGACCGATGCCTTTGAAGAAGTTAAGGCCGACTTCTCCGGCATGTCTACCAAAAAGAACGTGCCCGTGTCCAAGGTGGCACACAAGTGCTTCATCGAGGTCAACGAGGAGGGCACCGAGGCGGCCGCGGCCACGGCCGTGGTTAGGAACTCGCGCAGCGCCCGCACCGACCCACGCTTCTGTGCCGACCACCCATTCTTGCTGGTCATCTGCCACCGCGCCACCCACAGCCTGGTGTTCTGTGGCCGGGTCTGCTCGCCTTGAACCGCAGGCCTTGCCACTGTCCACCAGCGCCCTGGGCTTCCGTGCGGGCTCCAGGCTGCGTCCTAAGGTCAAAATAAATCTGTGTTCCAGAGCTGACATCTGCCGTGGACACCGCACAGGCTCTGGGAACAGCAGGTTTGGGGTGTGCAGCTAAGGTTGCCAGTGTCTGAGACAGTGCAGGCGGGGTTTGGAAGTGCTTGCCATCGCTGGTCACCCAGGTCAGCACGGCCTTTCTTGTGCCTACTCACTAGACCATAGTGACCAGTCGCACATAGCCACTCCATCCAAGAGCCTGCTTCTCGGTCTGACTTTGTCTTCCCCCTCTTGCCCCTTCCTACCAAATCAAAGCCTCTCTTCAAATGTACTGTCCCTGACAGGCATGGAGTGCTCAGCAAGCCAGGTAAGCATGGCCTTCCTTGTGCTTGCTTAGCAATCTCCCCCAAGATTGGTGCTTCTTAGCTCATCTGGTGGGCCAAAGCATAAGCCCACCAGGGGCTCTCAAAGAATGCGCATGGTGGCCCTACTCCTGGCCGTGGGTCTGGATACTGGCAGGGACCCTGCTCAGGGCCTACATCTGCTGACCCAGCCAGCTCTCAGCAGGCCCCTGGTGCCCAGGCTGGGTCCTTAGCAGCCCCAAAGGGTTGGGCAGATGGCAGGAGAATGCCTAGAACCGTGCTGTGCTGAGGAAGAGTGAGTCTCGTTCAACAAGGGGGTGCCTTGTGGGGCACCGGTGCCCGGATGCAGGGTCATGCCCTGAGCAATGCAGAGCCAGTCAGTAACACTGAGGGAAGAGCCAGCAAAGAGTCCAGCTGCTTCTGCCTGAGCAGGCGGCAGGAGTGCAGCATCGGGGTCGATACTGAGTCTCTGTATGTCTGTCAAGTGAACAGTTGCTCCCATTCCACTTCCCAGCATGGGAGATTCTGATTTACCAAAGGAGCAGAGAGACTTGCTCAACTGCAGCGACCCATTACATCGAATGGCAGGGCACAGACTCCAAAACCAAGCTCACTGCCCTTGAGTCAGTACCGACTCACGGGGGCCTATAGGACAGGGGAGAGTCCCCCTGTGGGTTTCTGAGACAGCAGCTCTTCACGGGAGTAGAAAGCCCCATCTTTCTCCCAAGGAGTAGCTGATGTATTTGAACTGCTAACCATCCCTGCCCCACCCAGGGCTTCCATCAAAAATGCACATGCAGCTGCCAATGATATCTTCAGCCCAGAGGAGGAGCCACCAAGCCAGGCCAGGCCAGGCTGGCTCTGTTCTTCAATGGCTGACTTCTCTGGCATGACTGTGTTAGAGGAATCCAACTCTGACAACCTGCAGGGCCTGTAGGCGCAATTATATGGTGATAATATATAAAGATTAGAATAAGCCAGAGAAGATAGGAGAGAGAGTAAAATAAAGGAGTCAGAGACATCCCGTGGTAGCATGCTCACCTCTGGGATGGCCATGATCTCAGCAGCCAGGTCTGCACAGAGAGAGAGAGAGAGAGAGAGAGAATCTTCACTGTCTTTGGCATTTACAGGTAGCCCTGCATATTCAGGAGTTACATACGTCACAAGGTGTGTGGTCACCACAGTAAAGTCCCTGAGCTCACAGGTGAGGAAAACTAAATCCTGCATTGGGGGAAGGCATGAGGGGGGAATGGGCACCATGATGGGAGGAGGTAACAAGAAGGTCTGCTTCTACAGGGAGACAGAATCAACCATGTGCTCACTTTAAGGCAGCACAGCTGTTAGGGGAGAATTTGTGGGAACGATATTTAAAGCAGGATCATGTACTTGGACTTTCTCTCTAACTTACCAAAGTGGTGGTTTTCCCACTGTGGAGTACTAGCTTTCCAGATTCCCTCTGTTGTAAGTTAGGGAATCCAGTCCTAGTCATATTTCCCTCAGTGTTAGTTCCCCACATCATTGCCCTCAGCGACTGGGCCTAGCGATTTGTTTTTGCTTTTTTTAATATACAATTTCTTTTTATTTTTCTTACACTATGTCATCAGCCTCCCACAGACCCCTGGTCCACTGCCCTGACCATGTCCACTTTGCCTAAGGGCTGGGGCCATGGGAAGTAGGAACACCCAGGCCCATTTATTCCTTAGCTGGGGCTTTGGGGTTCCATAGGTTTGGCCCAGCCATGACGAGGTCCTGGCTCCCCAAATACGGCCTCACAGAGGCCATATGGGCCCTGAATGTCACCTTGGGAAGGAGCGCTGGTGGTGCTGTGGGTTAGACATTGGCCTATGAACCGCAAGGTTGGCGGTTCAGCCCCCCCTGTGGCTACTGGGAGGAGGATGAGGCTGGGTGCTCCCATGAAGATTTGCTGACTGGGACACTGATGGAGTGGCTAGTTTTCTGTCCTACACAGCTGCTCTGAGTGGGGACGGACTTGAAGGCAGTGAATTTTACTGCTATCTAAATAAACCTCACAGAGCTCATGCGTGTTCCTGAAGTGAGGAGCTGGGCCCAGTGCACGGGGAGACCATTAACCTGACTCATATTTCTTTGTGCAGATCCTGGCAGTTAAAGAGCCCAATTAACACCTCTCCCCCACCCCCCAACCTCTGGTTGTCAACCACACCTGCGCAGTCGAGATATTTTTTTTAAATCATTTTATTGGGGCTCATACAACTCTTATCACAGTCCACACATACATCAATTGTGTAAAGCACACTTATACATTCGTTGCCTTCATCATTCTCAAAACACTCACGTTCTGCTTGGGCTCCTGCAATCAGCTCTTCATTTTTCTTCCCTGCCCCCATCCCTCCTGCGCCCCCCTCCCTCATGAACCCTTGATAATTTATAAATTATTATTTTATCATATTTTACACTGCCCGACGTCTCCCTTCACTCACTTTCTGTTGTCCATCCCCCAGGGAGAAGGTTATATGTAGATCCTTGTAATCGGTTCCCCCTTTCTACCCCACCTTCCCTCCTCCCTCCCTGTATCACCACTCTCACCACTGGTCCTGAGGGGTTCATCTGTCCTGGATTCCTGTGTTTCCAGTTCCTATCTGCACCACTGTGCATCCTCTGGTCTAACCAGGTTTGTAAGGTAGAATTGGGATCATGATAGTGGGGGAGGGGGGTGGAGGACGGTTTAAGAACTAGAGGAAAGTGTGTTTCATCAATGCTACACTGCACCCTGAGTGACTGATCGCCTCCCCACTACCCCTCTGCAAGGGATGTCCAGTTATCTACAGAGGGGCATTGGGTCCCCATCCCACACTCCCCGTCATTCACGATGATATGATCTTAACTGACAGTTTGTAGGATGTATTGAAATCAGCTGGTGCCAAGGAAGCAATTATGGGCGCGCAGACGATAAATGGGAGTTGTGCGCCCTCGCGTGGACAATTCGGGAAACGCTCTTTGTGCCAAGATCTCAGGGTTTCCTTTGTATCCACTGGCCGGAGTCCATTCCGATTCAGCGACCCTGAGTAGGTGATCCTTTGAATCTTTGAATCTTTACGGGAGCAGATGGCCTAAACTCTCTCCCCAGGAGATGCTGGTGGGCTTGGTACTCCAACCGACCGTGTGATATGTGATTAGGAGTCTGACACCAGATAGGGCCACCAGGGCTCCTTAGTGGGCCTCAAAGGAGCCAGGTGCCAGGGTGCGCGCGCGCACACACACACACACACACACACACAGGCTTATTTCTCCAAGCACAGTGTTGTTCATAGGTTCAAGTGAACAACTCCATTTACTGCCATAGAGTGGATTCCGACTCATATCGATAGAGGACAGAGTGTGCTGCCCCAGTGAGTTTCCGAGATGGTAACTCTTCATGGAACTAGAAAGCCTCATCTTTCTCCAGAGGAGCAGCTGGTGGTTTCAAACTGCTGACCTTGCAGCGAGCAGCTCCACGCATAACAACGACCCCACCGAGGCTCCTCTCCATGGGTTCAGGGCTTCAGAATTCTGTAGCTTCTTCAGTCTGAGTCGAAGCCCATGGCTGCTTTTTCAGAAGTAGATTGCCAGGCCTCTCGTGGCTGGCCGCTCTGAGTGAAGTCCAGCCTAACCTGCCAGTTAGCAGCTGAGCAAGATGGCCATTTGCACTGCCCCCCCTCCCACGGGGGGTGGCGGTTATCCACCTGGGAGGGTGACATAGAGCCACATCTTAGCCTGAACAGACCCTTTGTCTTTTTCTCATCATCTATAATGCTAGAATTTTGTGGGCTTCCATCTCTAGAACATACCGTGGCTTCTCGGTCGCCCAGTGTTTTCCGGGAACGAGCAGCCTGCGTCCTGTCAGACTGACCCCACAGCAGAGGCCAGCACTCCCCACAGTGTCCTGTCAACCCATGAGCCTGTGACTCCCTGAGCCCAGCACAGGGTGCACACAAGATTAGACAGGCACCAGGTTCCGCTGTCGGATGGACTTGAGTTTCTGGCCAATCTCTGTGCCCAGAGGGCTGTGACAGTAGAAGCTGTCAAGGATCCTTCCTTCTGTGCACCAAGAGGTAAGGAAGACAGTTGCTGACATTTCAGAAGTCACTAAAGCCATTAAATGACCTTGCGCATGCTCAAGTCCTTGGGGCTCAGAGTCTCCTCCTTGGTGACAAGAAAGGGTCTGCTCTGCTGTCCCTCAGTGGCTCAGCCCTGGGCCCACTGCTCCACCTTTTCCGGGTGAGCTTTCTCATCACTCGGTGAGCTTTTATTTCAAAGATGACTTTCATGGTTGGAAATGCAAGCTGCTCTTGTGTGCTTGTTCCAGCGATGGCTCTGTTTCGTACCGGTGAGAGGAGGACAAGATACAGCTACGCTGTCCTCACGTGGGCTTCCTCTCAGTCCTTTGTCAGTGGAAACGTTGCTATTTCTCTTCAAAGGTTTCCAGGGGCTGCTGGCTCCGCATGTGGGCGAGTCTTTGGAGTTCCTGTCGTGGACTGAAGGCCTTTGCCAACGGAAGCCTTAAGCAAGGTCCCCGGGCAGTCCGCTCTTCCAGATGCCGGCAGCAACTTTCAAGTAGAGCACCACGCTGGATGGACATCTGCTCAGAGTCCAGATGCCGGCAGCAACTTTCAAGTAGAGCACCACGCTGGATGGACATCTGCTCAGAGTCCAGATGCCGGCAGCAACTTTCAAGTAGAGCAC